GAACGAGTGCCCACATGTGTAGAGCTTCACAACTTGTCAGTTGTTGTTGGAAGGGTTTTGAGCGACCGGGCAGTCGCCAAGGTGTTTTGCTAGAGGTTGGATCAGATTCATTGACGCGCGCCAAGGGGTACGTTATCAATGTCCAACCACCCCACCTACCATGATTGTAATTTTTTTTATAAAGAGCACAAATGGGATAACATATTCATACCAAAGTATGTCTTCCTCCTCTTCTTCACCAAAACAGTTTCTCAAATCTTTCACAAGTTTAAACTTCATGATGTTGAAACACTTAGAGCATGGAGGGCTTATGTGAGATCAAGGAGGTTATACTAGTCAAAGAAAAAACATTGAAAACTACTCTCACAATATCTATGTAGCAAGGGAGGGGATGAGTTATGTAGAAGCTCAAATCCAGGAAAAAGTGAGATGGAGAATAGATGAAAAGAGGAAATAATAAAAATTAAACCATGAATACGTGTTGTATAAGTATCCATTTCAAAGCAAGTACGTGAAATGAGGAATAAGATGAAAGAGATTAATGACAGAGTAACATGAGTTGGGCAAAGAAAAAAGTTTTATGTACGAATTTTCTTAATGACATATTACAAATGATGTGTAGTATTGCATTGTTTGTTTGGTTAAACAGTTATTTGTTTGTCTTTTATTTAATAAATTTTTGTAACGTATTTTAATATATTAATGTTTTGTAATCATTCGTAGTTCAAAATAAGTGTTTTATGTTAATCGAATAAATGAACTTTTAGGTTTAAGAAATGAAAATAAGTAATAACATAACGCAAATTCATGACGTGTTACTATTATAGGTTTTACTAATAAATAATAATGTAACATAATTACAATGTTTGTTACTATGAGAAGGTTTTCAAATCACAAGTTAGGTAAACACTTTGACTTTGTTAACCTGCTATCCGAACCCCCTTCATAATTGATGCACCTTTCTTACTTGATTTTCCACGGCAGTTTGCTGATTTTCTAACAAATCAAATAGATAGAATTGGTTAAAAAAAATTAACAAAGTGATTTCACTTAAAACAACCACTCAATACCCAATACAAAATTTTGGTATATGGGTTCTGATTTTTGCATTCCATTTGACATGACAATACAACTTTTTTCCAAAAAAAAAAACATATGTTGCATATTTTCACAGTTGGTAAGCTAACCCTAGATTTTCACATATGCTCATCTACAAAAATCTAACAAAAAATAACTTTGTAGATTTCACATGCCACTTATATTTTTGCAGGTGGAGATCCGCAAAAATCCTGACTATTAGTGTCGGTTTTTTTGCTAAATCTTGAAAAATGATTTGTGAGATTAACCTTATTTATATTTTACTCTTCATTTTGAGGTCATTTCTAACACTCATTGAACTTTACATGAAGAATTGCATGAAAAAGAAACATATTTTAGTCTTCTTTTTTATACAAAACATACTTTCAAAATTAATGTGTAATGAAATATTTTATAAATTTATTTCAAATCAAGGATCCGGTTACCAATAAATGACTTGGTTAACATTGAGTTAAAAGTATTTTTCATTTTGTGTATTACTTTACTACTGCTATGGATAACATGTTATAACATCATTTTGGTGTCACCTTACATGTCACATCATTCATGTTATAACATCATTGTGGAAATGGTCACCATTTTATAACATCCACTAATTTCCTTGTCATAATTTCTTTTTTATTTTTTAATAATTATATAAACAAATGTAATTTAATAAAACATGTTATTTAAATAAAATCTAATTTTTAAATTAAACATAACATTTAAAATATAAAACAAAACATTACAAGAAAAAAATATGATAAATCTAAAAACATAAAAGATAGTCCTAATTGCCCAAATAAGTGACCCGAATATTCTCCTTCATCGCTCGTAGCACTTCCAAATCTCGAGGTGACAAACCTTCTTCTCTAGCCCAAAAAACTGTCAATTGGTTCGTCATTTTTTCTCACTCGCGTTGCTCTTTCTCCTCTCGTGCTTGCCTACGAAGGAAATCCAAGTGCTCACGTTGTACAACAATTCTTGCTTTTTCTATTAAATTGTATGTTTCGAACTTCTCATTCATTTCCTCCAACTCTTGTGCCCGTTTTTCAACTTCATCCTCATTTCGTTGAGTGTGCTTCATTGTTTCGTGTCCTAGCGGTCGTCGTGGCGGGGAGATCTTTTCGATATCGTCTGGAATCTCATCGATGGTGGCATTGAGGTCGATGTTAGTCCATGCATCGTAAATGTCGAAAGGATTCGAATTTTGAGACATTCGATTGAAACTTTGATGATGTTGGATTTTTAATCCATTTTGGATCAATTCTCAACATCTCCCATGGTTTTTCAAACTCGAAAACATGACCCATTTCGACACGATATTTCTCTTTCGCGGCTTTAAACAAATCAAAATCGTTGGCACTACTTTGTTTTTCCAAGTGAAGTTTGTTGTAGATCTCATTGACTTTGGTACACCTCCGATTCATTTGAGTCCACTTGCTATTAAGCATAACGATATTTTGATATGGATTTTTCCTCAAAATAGTGTGAAATCTTGCGAGCACCTCTTCCCAAAAAGCAGCTTTCCTCATATTATTTCCTTGACGTTGATTTTTTGAAGTCCCGCACTTCGCGGCCGCCAAAACGTACTCCTTTTCCGGTATCCACCATTACAGAAGTTCTTCATTTTTCGTGAAAACTTTTTCCCTTTCCCTTTCCCTTTCCCGCTCCCTCTACTACTACCAATGGGGAGTATATATAGGCCCAAGGTGGGTCACTTGACCCACCTAAGTTCTTTTCTTTTATAACAAACAATATATAAAAAATATATGTGACCTACCTTAAATTTTATGAGTGAACCACTTTGGCAAAAATATTTAGATAAAGCAAGACTTTTTTTGCCCATCTTTTATATCTAGTAACACAAATATTTAGTTCACTTAGAATATTACCTATTAAGAAATAACTCAATACAACTTAAAATTAGATTAAAAAAAGCAAAATCGTGAATATTGATTCATCGTTCAAGCGTCGGCCCTCAACATTACGCACGAACGAAGACGTAAGTAGCAAAAAAAAAACTTTAACTCTTCATGGTCGCCATCGTCGTTCACTACCGACCCGACCCGCTAATAATAATTTTTTTACTCTTTCATATTATCGGTTTAATTTAAATAGTGAACCATGTGAGTTTCTGTTCTAGACTCGCCACTTCCTACTACATCCCACTTTCGTAGCTACCGATGGTTATGTAGGTGATGATTGAGTGGTTGTTTGTGGCCTCAAATAAAAAGTATTGAAAATGTTTTGTTGTAAATTTGGGTTTTTCCGAAAAAGATTTTGTTAAGTGTAGGGTGAGGAAGGAAATTGCATTGGAAGTTATGTGAGTTAAAAATAACTTCCTTGGAACAATATTTATGGTGAGGCTTAAGAGTTTAGTAGGTTTATGTAATTTTCATATTGCGCGAATCCGACCAGAGCGGTTGTGTTTGGTTGTAGGTTTGTGTTTGGTGGAGGGGTGTTTGGGTTTTGCTCCATTTTTTGGTTGAAAGGGGTATTGATTTTTGTAAATATAGAGAAAAATAAAAGAATGGTATAAGTAAAATATGGTATAAAGTTGTGTATTTATAGGTAAAAGTAATAGGTAATTTTTTTAATTATATCATTTGTCAACGGTCAATTGACCATTCAAAAGAAAAACGTCGCATTGCAAGCCGTTGTCACCATAACGTCAGCTTGGACGGTGTTCCAGTCGTGGTAACGACGTCGAGACCGGTCCACGTCGGTAATAACAGGGCGTTTCCGTCCCATACCCAACTCTCCTATTTGAATACAAACTTATAATATGGGTGCTTAAACATTTAGTTAAAAGTATTTTTACTAAAATAAAAAATAACTACAAGTGGGATTTTCTTAAGGGATGAGGGAATCATAGTGGAGTGGGAAGGAGGTATCGTGGGTACCTCCAAGGTGTGACTCATTGGAGCATCGGTTGCAACAGGTTGAGAAAAAATGGGATGATTTGTGGTTTAGTTAAGCTGCTCAAATTATTTTAACCTTGTGTATTGATTACTTATATTTCTTGTTTTAAGATTTGTATCAAAATAATTTTATATATGTTTTTAAATTAGTTTGTATATGTTTAATATTTTGTAAATTAGTTTTGCATAATTCTTATTAGTTTGTGTTTATTTTAAAATTAAAATTGAGTGAGTTGAAAAATATAAAGTTTTTGTGTTATGGATTGAGAAAAATAGAAATGAAAGAGAAAAACTGATATGAAATTGATGTAACAGTAACTTGAATGAGTTGAAAATGAATGACTCCTTCCTCCCTAAATAAAATTTGTGGAACTCTATAACAAACATGTACTATGTTCATCCATGTAATATTGTTTACAAGTTAAGTTAAAAATAATGTATATTCAATAAAAATCAATCTAGTTATTTTACATATTGATTTTGCTTCTTAGATCAGAGGTCTTGGGCTCTAATCCGTATATTGACGATTTCTACTAACCATTAATACCTAATTTAACGTATTTTACAAAAACTCCCTGCTAAATAGATTCTTTTGAAGATGATGTTTTTATACTTTATATAGTTTCTTTAAAATAGTAGAATGGTTGACAAAATAAGATAGTCGGATAATCAAAATCAATTTTTATTTGTAAGTAGATATCTTATTAAAGGACTTCTATTCCACCGAAATCAAATGTTATTTTTTTTAGATTGAAGATTCGAGTCCTGTATAGTTTTGAGATATATGTGGAAGAAAAAAGATATCTTACTTTATAATAAATTTATAAAATAACTTCATAATTAATTGATAGTATTTAATACTTTTACATAGTGCTAGCAAGCATTGCTTTAGAAAAAATCGAATCAATTAACTCACTTTTTGCTTTTATAATTTCCCCTCTTTTGTTAAAAATTGTTAAAAAGAGAAAGCAAAAACCATAACAAAATAGAACTTCAAACTTCAAACACACAAAACCACAAACCAACACCATTTCTTGGATCCTTACAGAAAGAGAGAACTGGGCTCCATTTTCACCATTATTATCATGTCTTCAATCTCAAGATTTTAACCTGAAAACTCTCCCTCTCTCTCACACACATACACACACTTTCTCTCTCATTGGCACGCCTTCTTCTCTCAAAAACCCATGTCCATTTTTGTCCCAGAAAGCCCAGGTATATTCTCTCTTTCTCTCTCTATATGTATATGCTTATGTATGTATAGATCTTCTGCGAATACCACCTGATTCTTCAGTGCTCTGACATTTTCTATTATATTATTACTGTCGTCCTCAATCTTTTAATCTAAAGACACGTTGCTATTTGACAAAGCCCTACTGGCATTACCAATTTTATGTATAGTATTTCAGTTTTCAGACATATAATTGTTAAAGTTGTAGTCTTTCTTTCAAAATTTGGGGTTTAGGGCTTTTTATGATCTGGGATTTCTTCCCAATTTGTCCTCCACATTTCTTTCCGGTAAGTTAGTAGATCCTGATCTGGGTTCCAGATCTACACATTTCACTACTACTCTGTTCTGTTCTTTTTGTGTTTCAGATCTGTAAATACGATTTTCATATGTTTATGAGCAATGGGTGTTTGTGTCCTTGAAACTTTTCATGATTACATGAGATCATAGCTATCAGTGATGATTCTAATTTTTCCGATTCAGGTTTATTATTGGCTGCGAATTCAACAATCCCGACTATGCTCAAGCAAATCCTCGCAAAAATCCCTCGGAAATCAACGAAATCAAATCCAATATATTCAGACGGAAACAATTCCACCACCACCACCACCGATGTGAACAACAATGGCAGCTTCACCAACACCTGTAACGTTATTTCAAGCCGATTAAACGTCGTGAAGAAAATGTCATCCTCAATTTTCCCAACATCCGGTAACAACAACAACGACATGATCCAACCTCATCTACCTTTCAAAGACGTCCAAAACTCCGATAAAATAAAACTTCTTATCAGCAAATTAAATCTTTGCTCAAAGATCTACGATTTCAACGACCAAGATAAAGATATCACCTCAAAAGATCAAAAACGCCAGATTTTAATCGAAATCCTCGATTTCCTGGTTTCGGAATCCATCAAACTCACCGAACCCGCCATGTCAGCAATCTGTAGAATGTGTGGAGCCAATCTTTTCCGCGAATTCCCACCGAAACCCAATGGTTGTTCGCCACGTGGCGAATCCGAAGACGACGACCTGTGGTTCGATCCCGCATGGACACATTTACAACTCGTATACGAAATCCTCCTTCGATTCGTTTCTTACTCATCTCTCGATCCAAAAACTGCCAAACTTTACATCGATCATTCGTTTTTGTTAAAACTATTAAATCTTTTCGATTCAGAGGACCCACGAGAACGTGAATGTTTAAAATCAGTTTTACACCGGATTTATGGCAAATTCATGGTTCATAGGCCATTTATTCGAATGGGCGTGAGCAATATAATCTACAAATTCGTGTTTGAGACTGAAAAACACAACGGAATTGCTGAATTACTTGAGATATTTGGGAGTGTGATTAGTGGATTTGCATTGCCATTGAAGAAAGAACATAAGATGTTTTTGTTAAAGGCTTTGATTCCTTTACATAAACCGAAATCAATCGGTGTTTATCATCATCAATTAACGTATTGTGTTGTTCAGTTTATTGAAAAAGAACCAAAGCTTACGAGTGTTGTGATTAATGGGTTGTTGAAATATTGGCCTGTGACAAATAGTCAAAAGCAATTGATGTTCTTGAGTGAATTGGAAGAGTTGCTTGAGTTGATTCGAACCGATGAATTTGAGAAGATTATGGTTCCATTATTTAGGCGGATTAGTTGCTGTCTTGATAGCTACCATTTTCAGGTAATTTACCAATGTAGTTTATTTTATTTGTGTATTTTAGCATCTTGTTTCATTTCTTATATTTTTTTTTATCAATAATCGCAAATGTAAATTGTCCATATTGTTAGGTATAGTAAAGTACATTTAAATGCTGACGTGCCACTAATTATGTTTTAGGTGGCAGAAAGAGCGCACTTTTTATGGAACAATGAACACATACATCATCTTATAATGTGTAATCGACAAGTGATTATGCCAATTGTGTTCTCCTCTTTACAACGAAACTCCAACAACCATTGGAATCGAACTGTGCTTAACTTGACACAAAATGTCATGAAAATGTTTCATGAAGTGGATGAGCCGTTGGTAATTTCATGCCAAGGGAAGTTTGAGGAGGACAAATCAGCCACCACAGCGGTGGCTGAGCGGCGGCGGTTGACATGGGAGCACCTTGAGGAGGTTGCCGGTGGTGGTGGTGGTGGCGGTTTCCGGTTACCGGTGGTTGGGAGTGTTTCGGGTTTGGAGAAAAGTGGTGCCACATGTGTAGTGTCTTGCTAGCGAAGTAGAGTTTAAGATTTTGAAAGGAAGGATATTTGTGAGCAATCTTGATCTCAATAAATGTGATGAGAAGAAGCTCCAATGGCTGGTATTGTTGGTGCAACAATAGTGTTATGTATATTATGGTCTAGTGTCGATTCTTTTGGTTAGTATTTGATTAGGATTATAGTGTTTTTAAGGTGATTGTTGTCATGTATGATAATCAGTGAAAGTAATTTAAGTTAAGATGATTACTTGATCTTTTGTTTATGATAAAGAAAGTTACATGCTTTTCAATATGTAATTGTTTAGCTCTATAAGTTACTGTTGAAGCTGTAAGGCATTTCAAAACTAATCTAGGGAAATCAGTGGTTAAAAGGACTTAATTTTATGTTTATGTTAGGTAAACCTGTACCTAACATGAACTGTTCGTATTGTTTTCGGTACATGTTACATGGGAACCAGAAAAATCATACGTAAATGCATGCGATAATCATTTAATTTTTGTGTCTATTTAAAGCATTATATTATTATGTATCATGTTCTATCGGGAAAGTTTTAAAAAAGTCTTATGGTACGTTTGTCAAGAAAAAATGAAATTTTGAAAACGTGTTTGGGTTTTTCAGTTTTTCAAAGTTTTCTAAGAAAATGAAAATTTTTATTTTTTCAAATTGTAAGTAAATAAGAAAGTGATTTTTACAATTTTTTAAATATTTAAGATGAAAAATGAAAACTCTACCGTTTCCAACGAAACATGTTTTCTAAAATTTTCATTAAAAACTGAAAATAAAAACTCAACTCTATTTTCAAAAAACATTTTTTTGGAGAATGAAAACAGTTTTCCACAATTGAACACATCCTTATTATTTTGGAAATTTAACAATTAAGTCCCATTTTTTTAATAGAAAAGTCCAAAAAACCTAGCAAAATTATTCATTTTAGCCATTTTTTGACCTGTTCAGCGGATCATAGGACCAAATCGTTATTTTTCCTAAAATAATAGGATTTTTTTTTAAATTTGTATATAAGGTATAAACATATTTTTTACGTATTTATATGTATTTTTACGTATTTTTATATATTTTTTACGTATTCATGTATTTATTAAGTTTTTTATATAGATTTTTACATATTTCTATGTATTTTAAATGTATAAAAGTATTTTTACGTATTTATGTAATTTTTAAAGTTTTTTATATAGATTTTTATGTATTTTTTATTTTTATGTATTTTAAATGTATAAACCTATTTTTTTATGTATTTATATGTATTTGTTAAGTAATTTTTATGTATATTTATATACTTTTTATGTATATATATATTTTTTTACTTCAAGTTTGAATGTAAGCTAGCTATTGAATCTTGTAAATGAAGAAAAATTTGTTATGCTAGATTCTTGTTTTTCTAGTTGTTTTATGTTTTCTACGAAACAAAAAATCTGTTATGAATGCACTATAAAAGAAATTGTTTTAGACCCATTCATGCCCCTCTACGAAAAGCATGAGGGGCGACGCACCTTACGTCCTAGAAAAAGTTGACAACTTCACTAGTCTCATGTGGTCGTAAGGGAACCCTAAATTTTCATATGTGCATAAATAATTTGTTTGTTATTTTGTTGTTTAATTTCAAGATAAGCGAATCACAAAAGCTTAAAATATGTGGGTATGCAGGAAAACCATGTAACACCCGGATCCCGAGGTACTTTATGTTTGAAATTTTGACATTTTAAGGTTCTCCACGGCGTGGTGGGGAGGCACCACGGCGTGGTGGGGAGGCACCACGACGTGGCAAGGCAAGATCAGTCTACGTATCTCATTTAAGTCGTCACGGCGTGGTAGTATAGGCCACGTCATGGCAGCTGGCAAGTGGAAAACCCTGTTTTTGGATTTTTCTCCCTATTTAAAGGAACGAGGAGGCTAGGGTTTGCTCACCCTCAGCCTCTATCATCCTCTTTGAGACCTGAGAAACCGAAAATCCTTCCCTTTCTTATTTTGAGCCCGTTTTGTGTTCTTTGAAGTCTAGAAGGAAGAAATAAGAAGAAATGAGCTAAAATTCAGCAAGCTAGTCCTCATCCTTTGTCTTAGCACTCTTCTGGACCTTTGTAAGTGACTAAGCCTTGATTTTTATCATGATAGGTTGCTAGGTATTATGTTTTGTCCCTTAATATTCATGTTTTTGTGAGTTTGAGTGATGAGATCTCATAAAGTTTGCAATTTTATGAATCTATGGGACATTTGGCATGATTATTGGTTTGGATCTGGTTTCTTGTTGGGTTTTGAGTCATGCATGATATTTCCATGGAAAAAACCCTTATTTCGACTCATTATGGCTTCAAGACATGCATTGGACATGCATGTCTATAAAGCACCAACTTTTGTGTTGGTTTTAATAATAGAAACTGATTTGGAGTAAATGAGTTATAGGATTTTCGAAATAACTGCTTAATGGGGAAAGCCATGCCTTATTTAGCCCATTTGGAACCTAGGGTTTGAAATTTTGACCTCTTGGGTGGTCTTAGCTGTAACATCTGGTTCCTGGTATGTATTTAAAATCATAATTTATTCGCTTTTATAGAGAAACTCGACGAGTTGGAAGCCCTAAACTCGTCGAGTAGAGATTATCAGGACCGCAGGTTGAGAAACCTACTCGACGAGTTAGGAGGCCTCAACTCGACGAGTAGGCTGGCAGATGTGAAACCCTAATTTTCGGGGTTTGCACCCTATTTAAACGTCTTAAACCTTTCATGTTGGCCTTATTTCCAGCCTCCAAGTCCCAAACCCTAAATCTCGAAAACCCTAAAGCCATTTGAGTGTTAGTGAGCTATTTTTGAGTGTTTTAGTGTGTATTTGAAGCTATTGGAAGAAGGAAGAGCTTAGAGACACAAGAAGGAGCATATAGATCCAGAATCCTTACCTCATCTACGACATTTTGCTGGTATAAAGTTTGAACCTTCCTTTATGGTCATTTAGATCTCCATTTTTGAAGTTCCTTGCTTATTTTGGTCCAAATGATATGATTCTTGGGATTTGGACGTCCCAAGTGGAGAACACTTCAGATTTAAGGCCTTAAGGGGTTTTCGTGGTATAAAGGTGCCAACTTTATGGCCATGGAAGTTCCATGCAACCTTTAGACCATCATTTTGGTCTTTTAAAGCTTCTATGGCCTTGCATGCGGATAAAGTTAAGACTTTATGTGATCATTTAGTCCTTAGAGTCCAGATCTATGATCTCATAGTCCATCTTTTAGTTTTTATGGTGTTTGGATTAAGACCTTGGCCTTTTTGGGTTAGGGTTTGAGCTTAATCCATTTAGGAAATGTATCAAGGGGTAAAGTTGGAAACTTTACCCTTCTAGAGACATTTCCAATCTAGATCTGGAAGATGGGACTTGGATTTGAAGGATAAGGGCTTAATGCATTAAGAATGATGGACAGACTGAGGAACTCGACGAGTCCACAAGGGAACTCGACGAGTTGTATTGGGAAAGTCCTGATTCTATTAATAAGGAAGAACTCGACGAGTTCATGGAAGAGCTCGACGAGTTGGATCGCAATTTCACACTTCTGTGATTTATGGGAACTCGACGAGTTGAAGGGTAAACTCAACGAGTTGGGTCAACTCGGAGCATTGACTTTGACTTTGACCTAGGTTTGACTTTGACCATAGTTGACCCTAATGGGTTATGAGTATGAAATGGCAGCTAAGGGATTGTTTGGTTCAGGGATTAAGCATAGCTGATTTCGGGGCAGAGACGTTTCAGCTATCATCTGACATTTGAGGTGAGTTTCCTCCTGGATTGAACGCGTCGAAGGCACCAATGTCGGTCCGTGTATGTTATGTGAGCTGATTAGTAGCTAAGTGTGGGCAGGGCCCGTATCTTAGCATTATTTGATTATGGATATGGAATGGATTAGTAGATTTGGTTATACTTGTTGTCTGTGTGATACGTGTATGTGTTTCTTAGTTAGCTGAGTGTGAGCGGGCCCAAATCTCACTAGTTAGCCGAGTGTGGGCGAGGCCCGTATCTCCTAGACAGTCGAGTGTGGGGGGCGTATCTCACTAAGCGTGGGTGGGGCCCCTTATCCGAGTGTGGGCGAGGCCTGTATCTCCTTGAGTGTGGGCAGGGCCCGTAAATCCTAGTTGCACGTTATATGCATGGTATGTGGTAGTTTGGGGGAAATTCACTAAGTTTCGTGCTTACAGTTTTCAGTTTTGGTTTCAGGTACTTCCGGTAGCAAAGGGAAGAGCTCGGGATGACTGCATTGCACACACCATGATGATTTAGCCTGGGATGTTTACTATGATATATTTGACAGATGTTTTGATATGGGTTGTTTTGAGATACTATGACTTATGTTTTGATGAGATGAATTTGATAACTATGGTTTTATTTAATAATTAAAAATGAAATTTTTTGTCATGATTTTTGGGATGTTTCATTAGCAGATAAAGTTGGAATTTTTATCCTTCTAGATCTGGTTTCGGACCAAATCTAAGCTTTGGAGCTCTTAGGATCGAAGAAAGCAGCTTAACCCATTAAGTTTTTGAATACTTAGTGCCCACGATGTGGCATCAGGTCACCACGGCATGGCGATGCGGAAAATCGTTGAACATTGACTTTTGTCTTGAGTTGACTTTTGGTCAAGCACCTAGTTTGGAGGAAAAGCTCAAGTTTTATTTGGTTTGATTGAATAGGTAGTGCGTAGCAACGATATTCTGTCAGTGAGAGCAGTGGCAGTTGAGCATTTTTTGTGGGTGAGTCTTCTCACCACACTGGTGGGTCGAAGGCACCAATGTCTGACCATTGATTTGTATATGTAGGATGTATGTGATTATGTGACTATTACTGATATGATTGTATGTTATATGCATGGAGCCAATCTGGGCTCGGAGTCATTATGGACTCAGGGTTGATACAGACCCGACACAGCTACGTGCTATTACATTGGGTTGATACGGACCCAGGGGTTGACACGGACCCGACACAGCCATGTGTTGTTATATTTGTTCATGTATTTGATGTATGTAGTATTTTTGGGAAACTCACTAAGTTTTGTGGTTACAGTTATATTTATGGTTTCAGGTACTTCCGTTACTAAAGGGATTGGCCCGGCGTGATGGCACGACGTCCCCCCTCATGTTTCCGCATTTATGATTTATGTTCCTATGATGTTTTGGATCATTTGTATCATGGTTGTTTCTGAGACATATGATGTATGAAATTAATGATTTTAAAAATGAAAATTTTTATTAGTGTTTCGGGGCGTTACAAACCATCTAGACTATTAGTATTTTGGGACGTTACAAACCATCTAGACATACTCCAAGAAGTTGTAAGAATTGGATGAAATGGTGAAGACGATGGTGTTTAAAGGTTTGAATTTGAAGAAATACTTAGAAGACCACTTGAAGTAAAAAACACATAAATACGTAAAAAAAATACATATAGATATACATAAACAAGAAGTAAAATACTTAAAAAAAATACATTTATACATTTAAAATACATAAAAAATATGTAAAATCTATATAAAAAACTTGAAAAGAAAACGTAAACATGTAAAAATACATTTATATATTATATACAAGTTTTGAGAAAATTTGCAGAAATGTTTCATTATTTTGGGGAAATTAACGATTTTGCCACATTACCTGCTGAGCTGAACAGGTCAAAAAATGTTAAAATGAATAAATTTGTCGGTTTCTTTGAGTTTTCTATTTAAAAAAAATTGAGACTTAATCGTTACTTTTCCCTATTCTATTTTCAGGCAAAGTCAATATGGCTTTAAAAATCCTACATTGCTTTAATAATATTATTGATTAAGCTGGTATGGAAAATACAAGTCGTTTTTTTTAAATATGTTCATAAGAATAAATCGTTCACTTCTACGTGACTTCTCCATCTTCTTAAATGGGATCTTAATCTTTTGTGACATCTTCTTCTTTTTCAAGCTAGTGTCATAATCAAATCACAAACAAATTTTGGGACTTACATTCTTCCATTTCAATAGGGCAACCGAGAGAAACATCAATCTACTTTTGTTTAATTATTTTTTAATAATCCTACTATCATTCTAGAACTTTTTTTAAATGCAAATTGATACATTTTTTGGTTGTCATATCCGACCTCACATTCAAGACTTTATTATTAGACAAAATTGCAAAAATGGTCTCTGTGGTTGCAATTTTATGTGCATTTGGTCCAAAACAAAATGTTGGTGCACCATTGGTCCAAATTTTTGGACTTTCTATTGTTTTTGGTTCGACAAAACTGCAAATTTAGTCCTTGTGGTTTTCAAAAACCTTTGAATGGGGTCCAAAAAGTTTCCAACTTGCATCGAAAATCCAAAATCAAGGTTTTTCTGGGTTTTTGGTCCTTGATACACTTGAAAAGACGATTTTACCCTTTTCATTTTATTTTTCTATTTTCTTTATTTATTTTGGTATTTAAATAATTAAAAAAAAAACTAAAATCTCTCTCTCTCTCACACACACTCTCTCTCTCTCTCTCTCTCTCTCTATATATATATATATATATATATATATATATATATATACACCATCTCTTCCCCCCCTGGTTTGCATCTTACCATACAAATACTACCCCTCCTCCTTCTTCTTCATTCACGGCCAAGAAAATCCACCAGAGGTGGAGCCGTTTTTCCGACCACCAAGACAACAACAACCCAAACACCCCTTCCTTTGTATCTCCTAACCTACTCCGACCCCCTGTCACCTTCCCATTACCCTCCTACCACCACAGTTTTTGACCACCACCAAACTCTCCCCTCCTCCCTCGTCTTCCTCGTCGTGTGCTGCCAGACGCAAAGGGAACGAGGCAGCGGAGCTGCTATCGCTTGCCACCCGTCACCGAACACCACCTCGTTGCTGCCACTGCTGTGAACCATCGCCACCTCCGAATGTTGCTTCCGTCGACCCTCTCTGTCCAGCCACCACTCTGATTTGAAGGTGATTGCCTTCCCCCTCTTATTTGCTTCGTCCGATCGAGACAAGAGACTCACTGTGAATCTCCATTTTTGTTTAAGCAAACCTACAAGTCGATGTGGACTCAATCCTATTGATGAGATTGTTTCCAATCGATGTGGGTGCTTTGCGTTAGATTGCGTGTGTCTGTGTGTTTGGGTTTCAATTTCTGTCTATTGCTTGATTTTGGCTTTTGTTCATCAATTTGGGGATATCAAAGATGAAGTCCATGAGATTTGAGAAGACGGAGAGAGAGAGAGAGAGAGAGAGAGAGAGAGAGAGAGAGAGAGAGCGAGCGAGAGAGAGAGAGAGAGAGAGAACAGTGGATGGGGTGGGGATACTTTTTTTCTTTTTTCTTTATTTTTTAATTAAAACAGCATTTGAATAATTATAAAAAATACAAAAAAGAAAATAAAATGGCATAATCGTCTTTTTAAGTTTTTTTAGACCAAAAACTCAGAAAAACCTTGATTTTGGACATTACATGCAAGTTGGAAACTTTTTGGACCCTATCCAAAGGTTTTTGAAAACCACATAGACCAAATTTGCAGTTTTGTCTTTTGGTTCCTATACACTTAAAAAGACGATTATGCCCTTATAATTTTTATTTTTCATTTTCTTTAATTGTTGAAATACAAAAATAATTTAATTTATATTTTTTTAACTTACAAAAAAATAAAAAATGACCCACCCACCCTTTTTCTCTTCCGTCTATCTCAACAGAAACATACACACACACTCACTAGAAACGTCACCCCTAATGGATGCCAACCACCATCATTCGCCACCAACAACCACCATTCGCCGCCAACCACCACCATCTGTCGCCAACCACCTCCATTTTCATCACTTGTATCCCCATCTCTCAATCATTAAACCACTAAAAGTTCACCAGCGGCACACCATACCATCGTTCACCACCACTATTTGTCGTAATCCACCCCACCCATATCGTCCTTTCTCGCACTGCCTCGCCGGAAACCACTAAGAAAGCTGAAAACCACCATTAACAACTCCCTTTCTTGCTTAGATCTAAACCAAGTGATCATAAACATACTCAGTGCCCAAATTAGTGTAAGGGGTGCTCAAACCCAAAAATTAAACCCCACCCCCAACATCGTTTGTCACCACCATTCGCCGTCAACCACCTACATCCCCCAACATTCACCCTCACCTCTCTTTCCTTAACCTGATGACCCTCTACCACCAGTATTCGTCGAGCTCCACCATCTTCTCACCATTCACGAAGACTTGAGTTTGCATCCCATCCCAGTCTAAATCGAACAAATCAACAGTTTTAAAGAATAGATTGGCGGCGCTAGGTTGTCGGAAATCTTCGTCGATGACTATCCCTACCAGGTACCATCACATCCCTATGGAGAACCCTAACCAGACCTCGAACCGAAACCCTTATCCAAGGGTGGCGACGTTAGGGTTTTAGAAAATGAGAATGGTGGCGGCGGAAGGAGATTTACAGAAGCTGAAAAATGTGGTGGTGGCAGCAGAAAACCCTCATCACTGAAAGATGAAGAACGACGGCTGAAAACTCAAAAGCTTCCTCGAGCTCCACCATCTTCTACCACGACATCATATCCCATTTTTCTAACTTTCCATTACATATCTCGTTTTTCCGGAAAGGACACTAGGTCGTTTGGGTAAGTGACGGTGGCGGTGGAAGTCTAACAGGTGGTAGTGGTTCAATAACGATGGTGGTCCAGTCTTCAACACAATGAAGAGAGAGATAGATAGAGAGAGAGAGATTTAATGCCTTTAAGAGTGATGAAATTTTATTTTATATTTATTTTTTAATTATATAGTAAGAATACAATTAAAAGAAATCAAAAAAAAAATAATCAGTTAAGGGTATTTTTGTCATTTCAGATAGGTCATTGACCAAAACCGCACAAAAATGTCAACCATAAAGACCAAAAGCACACGAGGTATCCAAAATTGGACCACTGATGCACCACCAAACTTTTTTGGAATTTAATCGCAGAATTTTGACAAACACAGAGACCATTTTTGCAATTTTGTCTTATTATTACAATGTACTTTCATTTAAAGGTTTATTATAACGTTCTACTTTGATTTTGTATTAAAACAACATTTTCATATCCAACCCCTTATTCCAGAATTTTCAAATTCAAATGAATATGGTAAAATGCAAATCAACAGGACCAAATTTTTATACTGTCAAATAAAAGATTCAAATAGAACAAAGTTGGCCGGTACATAAATATTATAAGGGATTAAATAAACATAAAAATATGATTTTCAAAGCATTTATATATAATAGGTCGGCATTTTTTAGAATTCACATATAATATAATTGGTTGGATCCAAAAAAGTGTTACCGGTTCACGTAGGTTTACCAGTCACAGTCAAAAAGCATAAACATAAAACTAACTAGTCTTAATAGTCACAAAAATAATATCATTGTTTTTATGAGCATTTTGATCTATTATGTTTTTTTTTCCATAACTTTCCTAAAAATTTACGTAAAATGTTAGGTTTTATAGTTATAATGAATCATTAATAGGTATTATACGGTGATTAAAAAATTACCCTTGCAATAGGAGCCTAGTAGTGAGGTGCGCATATACATATAGAAAGTCACGGATCCACATAGAAGATGCGTGTTTCCATTATTGACCTCTCACGTGGGTCTTCGAAGGGCTTACCAATATAGTGCAGTTTACAATTTTTTTACAGTGATTAAAAATGGTGAAAACCACTTTATTTTTTGTTAACCCAAAAAAAGTACATATTTACTATAATAAATCAAGATTCATTTTGTCGTATGTAATTTTCTCATTAGTTTTAACACTTATTTTTTAAATAAATAATATTCACTTGTCAATTTCTGATTTATTTTTCAAATTTTAAAATTAAAAAGCCACATAATATTTCTATTTATATATCCAATGTATTAAATATAGTGAATGAAATAATAAATTGTAATGGATATTTTCCTTCTTTTCTTACTCTAAATCTTAATCTAATTTTATTTTCGTCAAATAAAACTACCAAAATTAAATGCAGAGTAAATGCCGAATTAAATGTCAAACATTTTAAAATGTGATGAATGTCAAAATTTGATTTCGTAAAATTAAATGTAGCAAATGTCAAACAATCAAAGTTATGTTAAAATTAAATGACAAGATTGATTTCTCGAAATCTAAATTTGTAACATTAAATTCCAAAATTAATCTCGCCAAACTTTTTTTTAACGGAAGTAATATTAAAAAAATAAATAAATAAACAAATAAATAAATGTGTTTGTTGGCAACTGTGTATTTTTTTTTGCGACATAAACAATTGCATATTTGTATTATCCGTTGTTATTATTCCATACCTAATGTTCTTTATGATTATCATTGTTTGAATCTATTTTCAAATTCTATATAATATTTTCGTTATATGTCATTTATATTGGTATCAATATGCTTATTTTGTTTTTTTTTCTTAATAAATTCGTTTAAGTTACAAATATTTTCTATGCATAGTATAACTTACATCTTGTGTTTTTTTCTCGTTGCTTTCTAATTTCAGTAATAACAATCAAACACCTTCATCAAGTAAGTGTACATATGTTGTCGGTGACAATCAAAATTTCAACTCAAATATATCAATGTGGATATCAATATACAATTTTTGATTTGAATATCAAAAGTCCATTATCCTGCAACTAACTTTGAAGACAGACGGAAACATAAAAAAAAGTTATTTGAATAATAGAAGATTCAGTTATATGGCCACCAAACGGTATTATGCTATCTATCAAGTTAGTTATCGACTTTTATACATAGAATGATATTTGAAATAGTTTATGAATATATTGTTTACTTTTTTTGTTTGTTTATTCTAACATAAATATTACATATTTGTATTAAATTATGTTTTTATATCATAGGTAATGTGGGTCATGCTCAACAATATTTTGAAATTAATCTCGCCAAACTTTTTTTTTGAACGGTAATTATATTAAAATTAAAAATAAAAAAAAACAAACAAATAAATGTGTTTGTTGGCAATGTGTACCCATTATTATTATTTCATGACCTAATGTTAGTCATGATTATTATATCTTTGAATCTATTTCCAAATTTAATATAATATTTTCGTTATATGTCATTTACAATGATATAGATATGCTTATTTTGTCTTTTTTTTATTAATAAATATGTTAAGTTACAAATATTTTGTATGCATAGTATAACCTACCTCTTGTATTTTTTTCCTCAATGTTTTCTAATTTCAGTAATAACAGTCAAACACTTTCATCAAGCAAGTGTATATATGTTGCCGGTGACAATCAAAATGGCGATCCAAATATATCATGTGGATATCAACATACAAGTTTTCGATATACTTTTGATTTGAATATCAAAAGTCCATTATCCATCAACTCTAAAGATAGACAAAAACATATAAAATTTTATTTGGATAATAAAAAATCCAATGATATGCCCACCAAAGTAACTAGTTACTGACTTTTATACATAGCATGATATGTGAAATAATTTATGAATATATTGTTTATTTTCTTCTGTTTGTTTATTCTGACAGAAGTATTACATATTTGTATTAAATAATATTTTTTATGTTATAGATAATGTGGGTTGTGCTCAACAATGTTTCGAATCGACTTAACATTTCCAATGGTATGACTATATTTATCTACACATTCCTTTTCTTACTATATTTATTAGTTAATATATAATATATATCTCAAGTTTTATTTTTATTCCTATACTTTATAATTTTATTACTAACTGTCAATGGACACTATTATATATTGTCTGTGACATAAGATCCACAACTTCATGAGCAATGGCTCAAGATTATTCTATCAAATTATCATTCAAAAAACAAATTTTAAAAAGTTAAACTGAAAATATGTCTAATTTACCCCTTTTTGACTTAAAAATATTAATTTTAGACAGTGTGAGTAACCTTAACAAAAAGTTATCTAATATTAATATTGTATTTAAAGAAGTCTTTGAAAATTGTGATTCAGAACAATTCTTTAAAATATCTAAATAGTTTGTTTTAATAGTATAAACTGAATTACTTATCTATCATTCCGTTTGTATTTATTTCAAAATTTTACTTTAAAAAATATTTAATGTTTACACCTTAATATTTAACCTTTTTTTAATCAACTTATGCAATACACGAGTCTCATATCCAACAATATATGCACTTATATGATTATATCACAATGTCATAAAAGCAACTCATTTTTCCAAATTTTAGTGGGAGATCGAGTTTAAACCCATGAACCACATACGTTAGGTTAAAATGCCATACACATTGTAATATAACGTTCGGGGAGCACTAGACTTGAAATAAGGTTGATGCCAATTTTATTAAATGTCTCTTTTGGTCTTTTTCTTATTCTTTTTTCTGTGGTTTTCGATTTCTAGGATTATTATTCTCGTTGTTATAAGGCTCATAACCCAAGTCCTTTTTGTTCATATCAACATGGCTACTTTGAATTTTTTTTCTAAATTATACATTGTACTTTGAAAATTCTATCCATTTATAACATTGTACTTACAATATCTTTCATATTAGAACCTTATACTTTGAAAATCAAGTTTTACCTAATAAAGTAAGCATCACCCAACTCTACCACGTCCCCTCCCTCTTCCTCTTCCCCTTCCCCTTCCTCTAAATTCTCCCCTACCACCACCACCATAACCACCACCACCATCATCATCTCTTTCAAAACTAAACATGCTCATTCTGATATCATCTGCTTTTGTCACATGACCACTCCTATCTTCTAAATCAAATTGGTTTTGAAGTTGGCGTGCAAGATCCTCATCTTGATTAAAATTAGGGTTTTCTTGTCTTGATGAAGAACTCCCACCAGCTCTTTTTCTCTCCCATTCATCTAGAGTTAAAACAGAAGATTCCTCCTCCTCTTCCTTACCCCTCCCTCTTTGTTTCCACCCCCTAGAATGCCCTTCATTGCGGGTGGAATTACTCATTTTCTGGAGAAGCTTTTGTGCAGCAGCTTGGTTTTGTACAGGGGCAACTTCGGCAACTGGAAAATAGAAAGAATTCTGTCATTATTGAAAGTGAGCCAAATACAAAGTTTATTTCACTGCTAAAATTGTATAAGTTTAGTGTCCTAAATAATAAGAACACATTTGAAAGTATAATACAATATAAATGAAAGTACATTGCTATTTCTTGCTATTATATACACAATACCTTCTTTTGGTCTTGCTTCATTAGAAGGTTGGTTTTGTGTGGATTTCTCAGAAAGAGAACCAGATTTCACATTCTCATTCCCTTTTATACCCTTTTCAATAACAGTAGGTCCAGAAGCTTTAGATGTTTCCTTTAAGTTATCTGCAATTAAACAAACCAACATTCATCAGCTACAAAATAGCCCTTCAAAAGCTTTTAGTGAATGTGAAATAAAAGAAAGTTTTTTTTTTTTGATTTATTTATTTAAGAGAATATTAATTGTTTTATCTTTACCAGAAGGTCTAATTTGTTGATTGATGGGACGTGAAGGTACTCCAGCCTGCAACTTCTGAAAAGGTGGTGGGCCACCAGTGTCATCAGTATGTGACAACTTTAAGGTTGATCGGGTAAAGCCTGCATACTTTTGGTTCATCTCCCACTCTTCATATAATGATGGAACAATACCCCCAATAACAGTTATTGCCTTTGCATTCAAGCATAAAATACCACTATGCATTACAACTTTATTTTCCAATCGGATCTGTGAATCAGAAAATGAGAGTTTAATTAGCATCCCTAGCTTTTATGCTCAATATATGGGAATATGATTTATTAAGGTAATTAACTTTTCGGTTTGTTCACATCTAGGTAACTATCTTTTTTTTGTACACATCTAGGTAACAAATTTGTTGGAAATGTTCACATATGACCATTATGACCTGCTGTAGCAGGTTACATCCTAGATGTGAACACTTTTAACAAGTTCGTTACCTAGATGTGTACAAAAAAATAGTTACCCAAATATGAACAAAACGAAAAGTAACAGTAAATTACACGAATGGTCCCTGTGGTTTAGGGGAATTTGTGTTTTTGGTCCCTAACTTATTTTTTTAACTCAGATGGTCCCTACTGTTTATTTTTGTTTCGCATTTGGTCACTGTCTTACCTAAAAAGACTATTGTGCCCTTATTAATTTATTTTTTAATTAATTTTCTTATTTACGTATTTACTTTTTCTATATTTAAAAAAATTAATAGACCCCACATATATGTATCTCATCACCGTAAACCTGAAACCACATTTGAGAAATTTAATTTCGGTCTCATTAGTCACCATCCCATCTCTCATCCTCCTCAATTTCTATTTCTTTTCCATCTTTAGTGACATCGACGTCTTCACCATCATTTTTTTTTTGGTCCTTCAACTCTGGCGAACCAACACCATAACCCACAGTCTCTTCATTTTTAGTGGGTTGTGGTGTTGATTCGACGGAGTTGAAGGACCGAAAAAAGAAGGAATGATGAAGACGTCGATATCACTAAAGATGGAAAATAAATAAAAGTTGAGGAGGATGAGAGATGACATGGTGAGTAGATACAGATATGTGGTGTCTATTAATTTTTTTTTAAATATATAAAGAACAAATACATAAATAAGAAAATTAATTAAAACAATAAACTAATAAAGGCATAATAGACTTTTTAGGTAAGACAGAGACCAAACACGCAACAAAAATAAACAGTAGGGACCATCTGAGTTAAAAAAATAAGTTAGGGACCAAAAACACAAATTCCCCCACACCACAGGGATCATTCGTGTAATTTACTCTTACTTTTGGTTTTGTTCATATTTGGGTAACTATTTTTTTTGTACACATCTAGGTAACGAACTTGTTAAAAGTGTTCACATCTATGATGTAACCTGCTACAGCATGTCATAATGGTCATATGTGAACACCTCCAACAAGTTTATTACCTAGATGTGTACAAAAAAAAGATAGTTACCCAGATGTGAACAAGCCGAAAAGTTAATTACCTTAATAAGTCATATTCCCCTCAATATATTTATTAAGTTAGCTTCTACCTTTTATGTGATATCCTTTATCATTATATCTTTCTGATTTCTATATTTCTAACCTTCTATGATATACATACATGTTTTATTGATCATGTTTCATCTGAATGATTCAATATTTCTCAGTTCTCACTCTATCTTTATTCTTTCACTGATTCACTCTTCTTATAAGTTATGACAGATTGACTGTGTTATTGCTTGATCAAATTGATCACTTTTATAGTTTTATAAGCTATGAGTTGGAACCGTATGACAGTTTTTTCTTGTAAACCAGTAGGAACTAAGTAGTAAGTAGACCAATGAACGTGACGAAATTCCATAATCACTAAATGCCACCCATGATTTGATAGAAATAGATTTCAAGATATTCTAAATGCATTAGCTAGAAAATATCAACGAAGGGTTGTTTGTGTGTACCTTGGTGCCTGGAACAACGTTATCAGGAATCGAGGGAATATGAGTGAACTCTATAGCAGTAATTTCTGAATGTCCATCAATAAGCTTCAATTTCAATAGCCGTTTACCATTTGAACTCCCTGAACTTTCAGCTATAGTACTTTTACTTATATCCCTCGCAGAAGCTATCTACATAAAAGCACCAAGTATCCGCAATTACTTTACCAGTTCATATGTGCATTTCTTTCTAGTGAGCTACTGATCTTGTTGAAAACAAAGATCGAATTCCGAAAGACATTTAAGATAACAACAGAGCATATACTTACCTGGAGAACTTTAAGGCCATCTAAGAGAGTGCATTTTCGGAGGGTGGAAATGTCAGGCAAAGATTTCCCTCCGATTGCTCGTAAGTCCATGTTACAGAGCTCCGACTCAACAGAACGAACGGTGCTAGAGCTTCCATTAAACTTCGTTTCGATTAGCGACTTGATTTGATTGATTTCTCGAAAACACCATCCTCGGTTAATTAGGGTTTGAATCAAAACCTCCGAGGAGGACGAAGATGAAGAACTAGCCATCTCATTGAACGCCTTCCAGGTGTTCGATCTTTTGAATCATGTAAAAGTTCGAGTGCTGGGCCAATAATTGGGCTGCGGCCTGCTTCCGAATACCCCTATTACAAATTCACAAATTTGTGAAATACAATCATGATTTCTCGATTTACAAACAAACTCACCTTAATTACTAGTATTTTATCATCCAAATATACCATTTCAATTTTCAAATGTGATTTTTTTCATTCAAAAAATTAAAATATCCATATAAAATATATATCTTTCTGAATTGCATAATAACTAAAAAAATATTATATCTTATATTGATTAATCAATTTTTTAACAGGAAGAATCACTTTCATACCATATAATATTTTCTGTTAATGCATAAATACTTCCAAAATACAATTTTTAAAGTGCTTATTAGATTATTGTAATTTGTCGCCGGTAATAAGCAATTATAAATGTTTGAATAGGAAAAAATTAAAATTGGATATTGATTTAAATAAGCAGTTTTTATAAGTTACTTCTTATTAGATGTCATTTTACCCTTAATTTAATCTAAAGAATATATATATATATATATA